GTTGGAGGCCATCGCTACTAGGTTGGAGGCCATTGCTATTAGGTTGGGCGCCATTGCTACTCGGTTGGAGGCCATTGCTATTGGGTTGCAGGCCATTGCTATTGGGTTGGAGGCCATTGCTACTAGGTTGGGGGCCATCGCTATTGGGTTGGAGGCCATTGCTATTAGATTGGAGGCCATTGCTACTAGGTTGGGCCATTGCTATTGGGTTGGAGGCCATCTCTAGTAGGTTGGAGGCCATCGCTACTAGGTTGGAGGCCATCGCTACTAGGTTGGAGGCCATCCACTTTAAGACACTGCTTCCTGGTGCTGCATGAGTGCATGAACTTTGCATGAGTGTTTGGCCCAACATAGGCCTCTGGTGTAGGTCGGCCAGGGCAAACCTCATTTCACTTCAGCCATCAGAATCTTCAATTCGAACCCTTATCTGGCTATTCAAGCACAACAAAGATGATCAAAGGGCATCGAAGAGTCTTGGCTTCCAAGCACCGTAGCCAGGATATTCTACTGCAAGGACGTGAACCTCGTTTGTGCTTGGATTGCTCAACTGGATTAACCAACCGAACGCTCCGAGACAACTGAATCTGCAAGTTTGAAGTCTCCGTGAGTCCGAATTCATTCCGCCTGAAACTGTTCGTACATGAAGCGGCAGAACCATCGGCAAAGACCAAGGTCCTGCACTGTCACGCTGTGCAGAGAAAACATGATGTTTTATGCCTTCAATGTAGACTTGAGGCCGAGGGTAGGTGACGAAAGCTAGCAGGGGTGGGATATCAAGCGGAGTGAGGCAAATGCTCATGAGGTAAAACGTTGTGAACATGTAAGACACACAAACAGCAATGACACAGCTTGTTGAATCTGTTGCACCGTATCCCAAAACCTCCACGGAGGAGTTGAACCAGTGTGGATGCCATAAGAGGTGCCCAAGAGGTGTCCCACAGGCAAAACACAGCTGCTTGCATGATTTGTTTGGTTTCTTCTATCGATGTCGATGTCATGAACCTGTGAGCTTGTTGAATCTGTTGCACCGTATCCCGGAGGAGTTAAGCCAAAGTGGATGCCATAAGAGATGCCCGAGAGGTGTCCCAGAGGCGTCCGAGGGGGGAGTTGAACCCACGGGGGGGCCCCCCCCCTACATATGAAGTTTTCACGTGATGCGGCGATCCCGAGGATTCCATCCCCTCACTTGCTAAAGCAAGGACAACTCCAGCTAGCTGGTGCTAGCTTTCGTGATGAGGTTCGAGTGCCACTATATCTGCCTATCTCTGGTTTGAGGTTGTTGGCCTCCCACCACAGTCCTAGTGCTAGAGGTACCCCGGGTTTGGGACTGTTCACGGGTTCGGCAGATTTTGCCAGTGCCAAAAATTGGCAGAATTGTGCAATGTACATAATATACATATATATAGAGAGAGAGAGAGAAATAATATACATATATATAGAGAGAGAGAAAAAAAAATAGATCCTTTCTTGTGAAATGGTGTCAAGAACAACAAAAGTGTCTAAGTCGAGGACGACATAGAAAAATTGAAAAGTAGAGGTGTGAGGGTGGGGTCACCCTGATTATATCGCTACTGCTCCTAATATCCTTTTGTGAGGAATGTGTAAATTCAGGTCGTCAGTTTGCCCAACTTTGGGAGGATTAGTCAGGGGAAAAGATTGTGATGTCTGATTGCAGAAGTGACTTGAGACTCAATATCTTGGATGAGATATCTATACATTATCATGCATTCAATCAGAAAGAAAACAAAGAGCTGGAAAAGGGGAAAAGTTGTTAGTCTAAGTAGTCCCACTTGATCGATGGGTTGAAATGATTGGTCACAAGGTCAGCCCAGCCTCTGCGTTGCTATGAAAGTAGATGACGAGATACCGCGAGGACCTGCAAACTCCCAAAGTTATTCAACGTGCCTTTCAAGCAACTGAACTAAAGAAAGGAAGAAGGAAAATGAAAGATCTGAAGGTCCAAGTTTCAAGGACAACGAAGAAAACATATATAAAAGGTAAGGAACAATAAACATGGTTATGTTCTTGAACTATTGCAACCAAAATGATTGCACGGTCTCTCTTCCCTATCAATCCCACAACCACTCTACATTGTCAAAACAAAATCTGCTCCACTGTCCACACACCAAACTCCACCAGAAAACAAAATGCGAAAGGTGATGGAGCAACAGAATCTGAGTTGTAAAATGATTGGGAATCACCACACAAGTCGCTGGTTGGAAAGTCAGAATGTTGGACACGAAAGCTGACATTGAGCTCAAATTACCGAGCATTGTGTGGCTGTGACTCAGGGCCCTTTCCGCCCATTGGAATCCCAAAGCAAAGACTCTGCAAACACCAAAGCATTTTGCATTTCACTAGCTCAGTGCTGTATTTCAGCGTATTGGGTCGTAGTCGGAATACGCGAACCTGATGGGGCCTGACAATTATTGATGGCCTGCTAAAAACTATGGCAAAGCAAAACACAAGATATATGCTGATGCAAATGCAGACTGTCCCTTGCCCTTTGATCTGCCATTGCTGTTGCTTGCTTTCGTCACGTTGCTCTGCCACAGGCCAAAATCCACGGCCCTCATCGAACATCAGGCAAACAAATATCGCTGCATAGCCAAGATGTTTAAATGATCGACTGCCTTCACATTGGATCATCAGTATCTGGAAGTAAGGAGCGGGATGCTAACCAATACAGCACTCAAACAACAAAATTTAAAACCAAGACTACGATAATCAAGAGCAATGGTGAGAGATCTCTTGAACCCGCAGTTCCCAACACACCAGTGCAGCCCAGATTTGATTCAGGCTGTCCTCCTAGTTGTGATTTAAAAAGCGGGGCTACATGTCCACCTGCTCACGGCCTCCAGCAGTCAGCTGTGGTAGCATGGCCCCAAAAAATCAAATCAACAAAGGCTCCTGTTTGTATCAACAAACATGGCCTTTGATTTGCCAAAACCCTTACGTTGCAGGCTTTTTCAGCCAACATCGAGCTCTTGCCATCGACCATACTCTTCGAAAAGGCCTTTTCGCTGCGCTCAAGCCGAGCAGCCGTTCAGCAATGTTCAGCGCGGAACGGCATGCTTCGAGCTGCCACGTGGATCAAACAGTCAAACAAATAAAGCACATGTGGTTTCCGATGAAGACACCAAAAGCTTTCTGAGATGGCAAGAGCTGTCTAGTTGCGTCGTCCTAGCATCCCGAGCCTTCCAAATCCTACCGAGGAATGTATCTCCTTACGCCTGCATCAAAAGATTTGAAAGATTCGGGCGGGAGTCCCAGTCATTCGGGCTCCCACTGACTACTGTGCCATTACCCACTCATTGCTTCACGTGTTCCACGCACAGGGTTCAATGTTCAGCACAGGCGGTGGCCAAAGGTGCAACCCATGTGTTGACCGCTGTTTACGACTCAAAAGTCATAACGTGATTGTTGGAGATGAGCATAGCAAATTGCTGGCAAGTCGCTTCTTGTCGACGCCATCAAGGAGTTTGGTAGGCTTTTCTTCTACCTCCTTGAGATACTTGGTGAGCTTCCTCACATGCTTCTCGTGCAGTTTGCGATCGGGGGGGAGAAGCTTGTTTGTTGGATATCCCTTGGGAATATCCTGGATTTCCCAAGAAGACGTGGGATCTTGGGGTTCCTTCTCCTTTGGTGACAAAATGTCAGCAGCTGCTGCAAGGTCGAAGTTGTGATTGCTGCCGACCGTAGCCGCTGGAGATGAGGATGAACATCCCATGATCTCAAAATTGGACAGGGCGTATGCGACGGATCGAGAGACACCACCCAACGCCACAGCCCTACCCTTGAAACATCTGCGGCACGAAAGTGGAAAAAGTGCAAGCACCGAGAATGATGGAAATCATATTCATCATCCTTCATGAGGCACAACAGTACCTGCAAAAGGAACAAACAATCACACATGTGTGACACCAAGGAGTCACAGCTTCTCTTGGGCGGCGGCTCGTATACGTTGAGCAGGCACGGTACCGTCTGGCACGTGACTCCACCAATTTGTCACATCTTTCAAACGGAACAGAACCAGCTTGAAAATGTTCAAAGTGTATGCTTCATGATGTACAGTACAGACAAAACAGTACATGGCTCAAGCTTAGTGAAATCAGGTCACTGACAGCATTTATAGACGTGATTCCCAAGAAAGACCAAGGAAATGAAAACAAACAGACACACATCTTCATACAAATTGTGTTTCCTGATGTCCTGATGCTAAGATTTGACGATGGCCAAAGAAGCAAGGGAACAAGACCTTGATGAACTCAGGTTAGTTGAAAGCGAAGGAAAAAGTATCCAATTTCCATCAACTTCCGACACCACTCTGCCTGCGATCCAGGAAGCGGAGCTTGACATGCAGTGGTACCATCTGCAGTCGATGCTGGAAATGAGTTGTGCCACTGTCAAAAGTTCTTCCAGCAAGAAAAGACAGGTCCACGAATCCCCAGACAACCTTGTCTTGGACATTTTTGTATAAGCCGGCGGTGCTGTTGGTTTTCGAAAACGGGCAACAATCGAGCGGATGATGTTGTCATGCGCTCGCTGCAGAAAGTCCTGCTCTGTTGTTCTGTTTCGAGTCACACGGAGACATCCGGCTTCGCTTCTCGTCAAACACAGCGCATGGAGCAAACGGAGTTGATTTGGGAACATGTCTGTCTTTCTTCAAATTATAGTACATAATGTAGTATGTGATTGTTTTTCCCCACATCACTATGTGGGGTTCTTGTTTTTTAGCTCTGCACCCGCCGCTCCGCGTCCGCCGCGGCCTCTGCCTCCGCCGCCTCCGCCGCCTCCCATCCTACACCACTCATCTCACACCACCCATCTTACACCACTCATCCTACATCACCCATATCACACTACTCATATCACACTACTCATCTCACACCACCATCTTACACCACTCATCTTACACCACCATCTTACACCACTCATCGTACACCACTCATCTCACACCACTCACCTTACACCACTCATCTTACACCACCTATCTTACACCACTCATATTACACCGCCTATCTGACACCACTCATCTTGGCTACCCATCTCACACCACCTCTCTGACACCACTCATCTTACACCACCATCTTACACCACTCATCTTACACCACCTATCTTACACCATCCATCTTACACCACCCATATCACATTACTCATCTCACACCACTCATCTTACACCACCTATCTTACACCACCCATCTTACACCACCCATATCACACTACTCATCTCCCACCACTCCTCTGACACTATCATCTTACACCACTCATCGTACACCACTCATCTCACACCACTCATCTTACACCACTCATCTTACACCACCTATCTTACACCACCTGGAGTGCAGATTTCGCCGCAGGCGCAGCACTTCATGAACCTGGAGCGCAGTTTTCGTGGCAGGCGCACTACACAGGGCCTGTCGTGTAGATTTCGTGGCAGGCGCAGCACTGGGTGAACCTGAAGTGCAGATTTTGTGGCAGGCGCAGTCAATTTCGTGGCAGGCACAGCACTTGGTGAAGCTGGAGTGCAGATTTCGCCGCAGGCACAGCACTTCATGAACCTGGAGCGCAGTGTTCGTGGCAGGCGCAGTACACAGAGCCTGCAGGAGGACGGGTGGACGCGCGGTCGCCGCTGGCCCGTGGCCGCGTAGATTTCGTGGCAGGCACAGCACTTGGTGAACCTGGAGTGCAGATTTCGCCGCGTGCACAGCACTTCATGAACCTGGAGTGAGTGCAGTGTTCGTGGCAGGCGCAGTACACAGAGCCTGCAGTGGGCCTGCAGGAGGACTGGGTGGACGCGCGGTCGCCGCTGGCCCGCGGCTGCCTGTCGTGTAGAATTCGTGGCAGGCGCAGCACTTGGTGAACCTGAAGTGCAGATTTCGTGGCAGGCGCAGTACACGCGTGGTCGCCGCTGGCCCACGGCTGCCTGTCGTGTAGATTTCGTGGCAGGCGCAGCACTTGGTGAACCTGAAGCGCAGATTTCGTGGCAGGCGCGCTACACAGAGCCTGCAGGAGGACTGGGCGACGCGTGGTCGCCGCTGGCCCGCGGCTGCCTGTCGTGTAGATTTCGTGGCAGGCACAGCACTTCGTGAACCTGAAGTGCAGGCAGGAGGACTGGGTGGACACGCGGCCGCCGCTGGCCCGCGGCTTGTCGTGTAGATTTCGTGGCAGGCACACCACTTAGCATTGGTGAACCTGAAGCGCAGATTTCGTGGCAGGCGCAGTACGCAGAGCCTGCAGGAGGACTGCGCTCGCCGCTGGCCCGCGGCAGATTTCGTTTCAGGCGCAGCACTTGGTGAACCTGGAGCGCAGTTTTCATGGCAGGCGCGCTACACAGAGCCTGCAGGAGGACTGGGTGGACGCGTGGTCGCCGCTGGGCCGTGGCTGCCTGTCGCGCAGATTTCGTGGCAGGCGCAGTGCGCAGAGCCTGCAGCCGGTGGAGTCGTGGCAGGCACGGCGCATGGTGAACCTGGAGTGCAGATTTTGCCGCAGGCACAGCACTTCATGAACCTAGAGCGCAGAATTTGTGGCAGGCGCACTACACACACCCTGCAGGAGGAACTGGGTGGACGCGTGGTCGCCGCTGGCCCGCGGCTGCCTGTCGTGTAGATTTCGTAGCAGGCGCAGCACTTGATGAACCTGGAGTGCAGATTTCGTGGCAGGCACCGCTTGGTGAACCTGAAGTGCAGATTTCGCGGCAGGCGTAGTACACAGAGCCTGCAGGAGGACGGGGTGGACGTGTGGGCACACCGCTCATCACACACCACTCATCACACAGCGCTGGTTCACACACCCCTCATCTTACACCACTCATCACACACCACTCATCTCACACCGCGCACACCACTCATCTTACACCACTCATCACACACCACTCATCACACACCACTCATCACACACCACTCATCACACACCAGTCATCACATACCACTCATCTCACACCACTCATCACACACCACTCATCACACACCACTCATCACACACCGCTCATCACACACCACTCATCACACACCACTCATCACACGCCACTCATCACACACCACTCATCTTACACCACTCATCTTACACCACTCATCACACACCACTCATCACACAACACTCATCTTACACTACTCATCTTACACCACTCATCACCCACCACTCATCACACACCACTCACCTTACACCACTCAGCACACACCACTCATCAGACACCACTCATCTTACACCACTCATCACACACCACTCATCTTACACCACTCATCTTACACCACTCATCTTATACCACTGATCTTACACCACTCACCTTACACCACTCTTCACACACCACTGATCACACACCACTCATCTTACACCACTCAGCACACACCACTCATCACACACCACCCATCACACACCACTCATCACACACCACTCATCTCACACCACTCATCACACACCACTCATCTTACGCCACTCATCACACGCCACTCATCTCACACCACTCATCTCACACCACTCGTCACACACCACTCATCTCACACCACTCAGCTCACACCACTCATCATACACCACACATCTTACACCACTCCTCACACACCACTCATCACGCACGACACATTTTACACCACTCATCACACACCACTCATCTCATTCACTTTTATCGTACAGTATCTTTCCGTCTTCTTTTCTTATCAGTCTCTACTTCTCGTTGATAGTTCTTACAAGCTTAATATGTGGGGTTATCCGGTCCTTTTATTATGCTTATCTGAACAATGAATTGAACGGCTGTGACTCGATTGCCGTATGGTCGGGCAAACGGCTCTGGTGCAAATCCTTCAAAGCATTCTAGAAGCAAAACGTTCTTTTACGCAGCAAGGAAAGATAAGGAAAGCAAGGGGATTGGTTGACACCAAATTAAAGTCGATTTGAAACTTGGGCAGTCTGGCCAAAAGTTCAGGCCACCATAGGAATTTCTTTTTACTGGTGAGAAGAATTGTCGTAGAACGAACGGAACAACGGCCCTGCTCGAGGCTTGGGACCTTGGGTCATTTGACCAGTCCGAGCTGCACCTCTCGAGCGAACTCCAAGGCTTTGCAATAGGAAAGTACTAGTAGCGATGTCCTTTGCTCCTAGTAGCTTCTTGCTACTAGTAGTAACGCCAGGAGCTACTAGTAGCGTCCTTGCTCCTAGTAGCGATGCCAGGAGCTACTAATAGTTACTAATAGCGATCGTTCGAACTGCGCGAACTCCAAAGGCCCCACTCTCCCGAGACGGCCTGGTTGTATTCTGCGTGGGATCCACACCAACTCGCCTGACCACAGCTTCAAGCTGCAAATAATTGCTTGAAGAATCTTGAAAAATCAAACCAGCTCAATAAGCCCTCGCAATGAAGCTAGAGATGCTGTGTGGAAGGCACAGAGAGAAAGAGAGAGAGAGAGAGAGAGTGTGAGAGTGAGAGGGAGTATGAGTATCCAATAATCTATCACTCTCTCATCTTGACATGGCATAGAAGACCACATTCCCCCGAACGCCTGGAAAGCTTTCGCTGGTGTAGCTCCTTTGGGCTGCAGGAGAAAGGCACAGCATGGATCCACAAGATTCTCAATATGATTCGCAGGAGCAAAAGGATTGACCATGTCCGACTTGCTGCTTCTCAGCTCAGCCACCAACGGCGTGGGCGCCGGAAACAGGAAGACATCGAGCAACCTCTTAGGGAAATTGCAAAAACACAGCATGTTCACAACTGGAATTGGAGAGGATGAACCGGAAGTAAGTCAGAACTCATAAGATCTGCATGTTTTAAAAGCCCGCTCTCCCTACTAAAGTAAGTAGGCGCCTACTGCCTACTTGCCTACTTAAATAAGTAAGGGAGCTCCTAGCTGCTGGACGCAGGATAGCTCACGCTTCTAATGATTGGTTCAAATTGGAAAAAGCCGCACAGCCAAACGTGGACTCGATGTCTCTCTGTGAAGTCATGGACTGTGACCCCAGCTTCCCTGGCACGGGAGCAGGAGATGGCATCGCCAAAAGCGCACATTTGTTGGCTATAGAACGAGCGATATGGATACTGACGCTGTGGAAGCCCCCCAGCTGTAGAAAGAATGCTTCCATGACAATATCTAAAGGGACGGCTCTGTTGAGTGCGGTATCATCAGCAACCTGCAACAAAATGTACGGAGTGTTGTGTATGTGTGTCTCAAGTCTCAAGCTTCCTGATTTCGGTGTGTACAACTTGAGCCACTACACTATCTTTCTCCCTCTGTTGTGCATCCTTGTCTGTGTGCATGCAGCCAAGCAAAAAAAGGAAACAAAGAGAGTCACACAAAGTCTTCAAGTCTGCAAAAGTTCCCATTGAAGTCTCTCTGCTTCGCTAGCATCGGAAACCCCGGCGTGACCCATGCCAACAGGGAAAGTGACTAGCAACCTCTGCCACGTGGCTCTCATCCTGCCGCACTGAGTTGAGCATCGTGGTCTTTTGCCCGGCACAGGTCTCTTTGTCACAAGCCAAAGCTTTCTAGTTCGACTGCTCTCACTATCACTTTCAGTTCTTCAATGATTCCAACATCCAACTACAACATAGCAGAGTGGCAGAGAGAGAGAGAGAGATCAACACAATGAAGCTTCTTGCTCCTAGTAGTAAGAATGCTACTAGTAGTGATGCCCTTTATTACTAGTAGCGATGCCCTTGTTACTGTCAGCAATCGAGGATGAAGGCTTCGGATTGGGCCTCGACTTCTCACAATCCGAGAATACCCCGGGGGAGATGCCGCTCTTGCCGAGCACACTCCATCAGGGCAAAAGTGCCCCAAGTGGCGTGTTGCCTCTGAAGAAATCATATCAGCTTCATTAGCGTGGCACTTGTTTCTACTAGCTTCTTGTTACTACTAGTAAGGCACTTGTTACTAGTAGCGATGCACTTGTTTCTACTAGCTTCTTGTTACTACTAGTAAGGCACCTGTTACTACTAGCTTCATTTGTTTTTCTAGGCAAAGTGCAGAAAAATCGTTCACTAGTTCACCACGGTTCAAGGGCACTTTTGAAGGCCTAGTGGTTGTCTAACTTGGGCGGAAATATGTCGAATCGAACCAAGAAAAGACATTGAGTTAGATTTCTGACCAGTCTTGAGTCCAGACTAGTCAAACATCGTCTATTTCTACCAACGGAGAAAACCACAAGTTTCTGGCCGGCCGCCATCCCAGTTCCAGCCAATCGCTGGATCTCTGGGTCCAAGAGTTGAGTTGAGCCAGCTATGCCTATTCCAGAAAAAACGATCAATCAGAATGAATTGAGATAGTGTATGACAGAGTCTATGAGCATAACCGAGGGCCTGGGTCTCTGCTGAAATAAAGTCCAGTCCAGACGATGAATTTGGCAAACTGAAAACAATTATCCTTCAAACCGTCGCATCCTCAACGGTCTCGGATTGGCTCAATATACTGCTCCTAGGGCATGATAGCTCGATTTTATACATTTTTCTTACAGTAGACTCTTGCAGCCCCAAAGGTGTGCAGGTACATGAATTCCGCACAAGCCGAAATTATCAATACAAATTAGGTTTGACAAGTACATCGAAGGCCTACATATATATATATATGATTATATAAATTACAGTATATAATATGTGATTGCGTGTGTGGTCCCAAAAAAAGGAATTGAAATTATCCCAGCAATATTATTGGTTGTTGACAGTGTCTTGGGTCTTTATATAGCTGATTGTTGTTTCATATTCTTTGGGTATGCTTTTTGGATGTAGATTTTGGGACCTCTCTACCCCCTGAGGGGCCCCCTGGACCCTTGCGCGCTAACCTCAGCTGAAGAAAATATATCAAGTACTCTCAAGTAGTAATTATTGCATATTCAATTGAAGAATATCATATGCACTAGTACGCAGACTACTCATGTGTTTTTTGTTATATCCATTGTTCCCTGCAACATATTTGCTCCCTGCAAAAGCTGAAGTAACCACACAGGTTTCTGACCATTCTGGAGGTTTTTTCCGCTTGTGGAGGTGTCTCTACCAAGGAAAGTTAAACTTAGCAGACTTAGCAAACAGGAATGCTTTTTGCAGGAGGAAAACCTTCTGAAAATGCACAAAGAAAACCATCAAGGTTAGGCCCCGACAAAAGGGGGGCAAAAAACACACATTGAACAATTACGTATACAAATGCAGTGCAAGAAAACTACATGAAAATACATTCGGACCTTTAAAATTGCAAATGTGTGTATAAACTGCAGTAGAACTCTTTGTGAAGGCAGTCTTTAAAGGAGGTGTCTTGCAGTATAAAAGAGGCGTTCCGATATGTTGGATTTATGATAACTTGTGTCTTTGATCTTAAAAAAGCAATGGGACAAACCTTTGTGATGATTTTTGCACTTTTTTGGAGGCGTAGCAATTGTACACCGGTGTCTCGTCTATTTTAGCCGAATAAACATGCACAAAGGGATTAAGAACTGCATACCGCAACAACCCTGTGATGCAAATGTATGCCTACCAGCTTCAACAGCCTCTTACCACAAGTGGACAAGGGGAATATGATGAGGCTACAATGCTGCGTCGTTGCATTGGAAACCGTGTCTGCCACCAAACCTCGCCTGGAACGGCCAAGACCTGACACTGACTGAAGTGTTCGTCTTCGTCAAGTCTGCTCCGGACGCCAAGGCGCGATGTCACCACTGGTGATACTTGCGCAAGCTCAAGCTGAAGCGCTGCCAGTGCTAGCTACCTACTGAACCTGAATCAATCCATGGCCATGATTGATGGCTGCAAAGTACGCCGCGAAGACCAGAGAGACAATGGCCTGAAAGGCAAGTGTTATGCTTGTACAATTTGACAACATCGAAAACCTGCCTGAAGCTTCATAACAATGTTCAGGGCAGGTCCCGAGGTGTCCTCACACAGTGAGAAAGTACTACTAGAACTTGCCTATATAAATAGCACAGGCCAATGACCAGTGAGAAGCAGCGAAGAAGCTTGATCATTCTGATACATCCGCTGGATTGGAGCACTCTTGCAAGCCCCTCTTGTAGGACATTCTTGTGGGATCTTGTGGGCCACCCTTGCAGGCCACTCGTGTAGGACAGTCTTCTGGAGCACTCTTGCAGCAACACTCTTGTAGGACAGTGTTACGGGCCGGGACACTCTTGTGAGCCTTCTTGTGCGGCACGGTTGTAGGACATTCTTAAAGGGCACTCTTGTCGGGCACTCTTCTGGGCACTCTCGAGGGACACTCTTGCAAGAGACTCGTGTGGCACGCCCACGCATGTGTCCCGTTCCCGAAATGGCACGGAGCCACTCAGATGCACTTCCCCCCGAGGCTGCGCCAAACCACATGGCACAGCGACATCACGGATGTAACTTCGCTGCACCGCATACCACTTCTGACCCCAGATCTCCCGGAACTTACTCCCCAGATGACGTCTGTACTACAGAGTTCCAACTGCGTGCTATCAAGCGAGACTATTGAACAAAACACTCAAAGGCTAGTTCAAGCTCAGGAAATGTAAATGAAATTGGCAGCGCGTTCATGTCATTGTGCTGCACGCAAAACAGTGCAACAAAAGTCAAGCCATGCCAAGCCTAAGCCTCAGGGTGCATCCCGAGAATGAAGAGAATTGAGCAGGTCATCTATCAATCTATGACTAATTAATTATGAATGCTCGGTAGATCATCGTAGACTCGTCGTAGACCATCGTGCACAGTACCCCCTGTCATCGTTCGATTGTCCTTGAAGGGATCACCCACAGTGTCTCCCTGCACCGCTGCATCATGGGCCTCCTTGGCCTACATCGCTGCGGGGGTTGGCTCATTGGAGGGTTGGATTCAACTCATGACGCATGCTGTACTACTCAAACTCGAGACAACACCGGTACCACTCAAAATGGTAAATGGTTGTCAAGGCTTGAACTGCACGTGTTCGCTTTTTTGTGTTGAAGTTCAGAGAAAAATCGCTGCCATCCTTGAGGATCTTGGAGCACTTGCAAAACACTTGAACCAAGCTGACAGTGATAAGTTCCTGCCTTGGGGGCAGCCTTCTTCTCCTCCTCCGTCTGGGGGTTCTTGGTGTAGCGCAGCCTTTGAATACAAGTTCATTAACGCATCCACCTAATAAAGACGCATTCCCTGCGCTTTTGGATGCTTTTGGTTTTTCTTTCATGCCGTCCTCTAATGTCCAATGCCAAGCAGCTCCACGTCATCGGAGAAGCCGTTCTTGATGAACTTCTTGCCTTAGCAGCATGACATGGCTGCACATGCTTCTTGCAGTATCTGGGGTGTTGGGGGTCAATGCCTTGCTTCATGCTCTTTGGATATCTTTGGCCAGTGGCCCACACTGCTGGCTGTTTGGGGGCACCGAGAGATGTGCGAGAAAGACCAACAGCGCAATAGCGCAATACACAGCAAGAAAAATGGGAGGACCTGTCGATTGGGTCGCACTCTTTGGCTTGACATGCCTTGCTCGGCTTGTTTTTCTTCCCAACCATCACTCACTGCTCAAACACCTGCAATCTCTGCTGGACATACCTGCTTGACAGTAAATCTGGCGAGTGTTCTTCAGCGCGCATGAAATGGCCACATGTCTGTACAACATCGAAGTCCTTCGTTTAGTTTAATAGGGAGACACCCAACCAGGTTTTGGCAATATTTCTCATTGTCCTTCTTGGTGTTTGCCTGGGAGGTCTACCTACTTTAATGCACACACACACAATTTGTTGAATTTTGAATCCCCATGAATACCCCCTAAGTCTCGTCTTTCTCCCCTTCAGTCGGAGTGTTCGCCAAGACACAGTTGTCCCAGGCACCGCCCGAGTTGGACATGGAGATGGCCAGCTGCACCGAAGATCCCAGAGATCCAGTCAGCAAACCGAAGGCCGCCTGGCATCGCTACTAATAACAAGAAGCTACTAGGGGCTCCTGGCATCGCTACTAATAACGAGGGCATTACTACTAGGAGCAAATAGCTACTAGGAACAAGAAGCTATTAGGGTGGCCTTACTACTAGGAGCAAGGATGCTACTAGGGCTCCTGGCATCGCTACTATGAGCATTTTTACTACTAGTAACAAGACCGCCTGGATGCCGAAGAAGGTTCCCGCGGCCAAAGGAGACAAAATCACCAGGCAGGCAGGCGCCACCATCTCGCGGATGGAGGCCTCCACAAAAAAAAGCAGCTGCAACCGTTCAAACTCTTCGTGAGTTCTTCTTTGATCTAAAAAGTTTTGAAGAGTCAACACGTGTCAAGGGTGTCTTGACCCGGTTTGGCCTAGACACAAGATCTGACAATCTCTCAGGACCCTTTAAGGATCCAATCAGCTTGGTGCAGCTGGTTCCGGTTCTTGATGAATGAGCATCCCACATGTCCAACTATCTGCTACTATGATTGTGGTAGTTGTCTTTAGGAAAGCTGTCCCATCTCAATCCTGTGTGCCTGGGTGGAGATCTGAATGCAAGTCTTGGAATCTGGCTTCAGCTCGGTGCTGCCAGTCAAGAGCGTCTTTCCCTTGGAGTCTTTCATGCTGAACTGCCTCGGCTGTAAACATGAAGCACCACCCAGGTGCAACAGTAAAAAGCTCTAGAAGAACCATTCCAAGCTCTGTGAACGGTGGAAGCGCTCTTTCAAATCAGTCCATTCCACTTGCTGCAAGGCAACCTCTGCACCTCGGCCACCATCTCCCCAGCGGCCTGGACTGCATTCAGTGCATTCACTTCGCATACAGAACTTTGGGGCTTCAGAGAGGCATGAAAATCAAACTCATTCACCCATATGCTTTGGAGAGGCATTCTGATTTCTTCTTTTTCTCGCAAAGCATGTCAACGTGCCTTTCCAACAGACTTCATTGTCAGGGCCGCAAACCAGTAGGGGATCCTCAATTCGTCAGAACGAGGCAATGCCGGAGGGAGTCACTGTGGCATGATCTAGAGACCTATACCGTTGGTATCGTTTTGTGGAAAACACGGTGTGAAAAGTTCAGAACAAACAAGCATCACTTTCTTGCTCGCATCCACCCTAGTAGCGATGGCCAACCTACTTCGTTGGAGTTGGGCCTGTTGGAAGAACTCTTAGGGCAACGGTGCATCACTGTCTTGCTTACACTCCTCAGAGCTTTCTCTTCAACTCACCATAAATTCCCAACTGCGACCCATTAAATTTCACAAGGATCATGCAGCCGATGATGAGGAATGCCTTAGTGTAACGTGGGTTTCGCGGCAATGTCTCAGGATTGATCAGAATTATCCAATGACAGGCCATGCCGGCAGTGTCACCTACCAACCAATTGATTCTCTGTCTCTCTCTCTCTCCCCCGTTCCAGTTGGCCCAACTGAGAATCCAACGAAAGTGGTGGGCTCCAAGATGTTCACCTGGAACAGACTCTTTGAGTGGTCTCAGAACAAAGAACTGAACAGTTTCTTGACAGTTTTGGCTTCATCAATAACTATTTTTTGGGGGAAAGAGACAAAGAAGTGGGAGAGCTTCATGTGGAAAGGTGAGGAAGGCTCTCAATCTCTCTTGTGTTTCTTCTGCAAGCAACACACGTCTTCGACTCCAAGG